CAGAGCCGTTTATTACGGCACGGGGGATTACTTAGGGAATGAAAATTTCGCTCGACGAAATTTCGCTTTGCGGAAAGCATGCGTTGGGCTCACGCTTCGTATCCCGCCCATTCTCGCTCGCGAGACGAGAGCTTGCTCACCGAGGAATATCGTTAATCGAGGATGCATGTGTGGTGTGCGAGAGCATACGTAAGCTGTTTCACGGACGTGAGAGGAGGATTCGACCGCGCGCGTACGCCTCTTCCGCATCGCATTCTTCGGCAGGAGGACGATCCATAAATCTGTGATCGTTCGACGAGTTTTCTTCGAACGCATTCGCAGATTATCCGCAGAAATAAACTGTATCTCTCGCTATCTTTTCTTAGCTAACGGAATCGACATTGACTTTTTCCGAGTTGTAAAGATAGCGGATGCCCTCTGCTGTAGTAGCAAACAAACTTAAAATAGCTATTCTTAGTTTACAACATGTATAAATAAATGATTTATATTCAGTGAGATGTGTCTCGTCAAAGGAAATGTTACTTGCTTTTTTATTACTGTATTATATCTCATAAGTTTTGTTTGTGAGTCATGTAATTTTTTTTCTTAAAGTAACATTGGAAAAATTGATTTTGAAGAAATGATAGTTTTCCAAAAATATGTACTAACAGGATATCTTGCTTTTAAGAATAGAATATTATTTTTTCGATTATATTTAAATTACCGTGATATAATGATTCTATTTTAATCATTTTGGAGTAATATTTTAAAGCTGATTTTGAAATGGACTTTAAGTAGATAATAAATAAAATAATAAAACTTTTAAAAGCAAAATTTAAATCATTTTCAATATCCAGTGGGGAAAAAATTCATTCCCTGTTTAAAAAAAGAATATGTTTCTCAAAACATTGAAAACACTTGTAACGTTCTAAAATTATTATTAGATTTTATGATAAAAATCCAGGTCTCTAAGTCTCTCACAAAGGACAGTTAATTGGGAAATAGTGACGAAACTTATCATTGTTCACGGGATGAGTATCTTTGATAGTCTTTGCTTCGGCGATTCGGTAATCGTATAAATTTCCGGAAGACCGGTGATCGCCCGTGCTTATATGTCTCTATTAAAAGGTGAAATCGCGCCCGTTTCTTTCATGATAGACTTGTTCGAGATAACAGGTCCAGGCTGATTCACTCCGAAACTCCGACGCACACGTTTTGGGACCTGAAAGCGTTCGAGGGAAGACGCGCGAGATAATTGTCGGGACCGGATTCCACGACAAGTTCAGACTCTTCTCGATGTAATTAATAGTGGGCCATCCAGTTTCATTTAATAACAAAATAGCGTATCCTTTGCGAAGCCCTTTGCGAAAAGAGGTGTTCTTGAGAGATAATTTTAGATTATATCTTTCGAGGAATATACCGGTGGAAATAATCCCTTCATATATATACATTATTCTAAGTAACAGTATATCTATTATTAGAATAATTTTGATTTAATTAACTATGATTATGAAGACTCTCGTTCGCTATTGATACAATCAATTATATGTGACAGATGAACGGGACTCTTCGTGTCGATAACTATTAGACTTTTAGATGAGACGAGAAGCGGACGGTGCGACAAAAGATCGCTCGTTGAAAGCTGCGAGAAATTTCCATACCTTAATATCTCATGGAGATAGCATCGAGCAGTCTTCAGTTCAAGCATTCTTCTAGGACGATCGAAAGATAGTCATGACACGTCTAAGGGCTTAAGAAATCTGCTTGGTCGAGCGGAAAAATTAATGTTCTCACTTAGCGTAAAATAGCTAAATGATAATGGTGTATTGGTAGCGCAGATAACAGTTGTACATGATATATAATCTAAATGAAGAAGGCTTTTAATACTGCGTTCTTTTTTAATTTTTTTATCACTCTATTTTTCCTATTTAAATGCAGCGCCAATAAAATAAGAGAGCTTAAAACTCTTTAATTATAAAGAGCCCGCAAACCTTTGATTAATATTAAATTTGTACGATAAAATCCGTAAATAATATTTTTTATATCCAAAGAAGATATTTTTCTCTCTCCTATACAAATAAAAAATTATAAAAGTAAAAAGATAATTCGTAAACTCGTTAGTTTTAATGATAAAGATCCAGGTTCGAGGAAATATTCAAGTTGCAACAAACAAATTTGTCGCTCTTGAAGCGGAAAACGCGTCGCATTCGGATCACCGAGGGATAGCGTACAATTTGACGTGGTTCTTTTTCTTTGTTCTTCCCTCATCTCGTTTCTTGCAAATAAGTCTCTAACCATCGCGACGGGAGCCCTCCGGAGGTTCGATTGGGTCCGTGCCGGTGCGCCAGCCGTGCGGATTGGCGAGAACCGGATCGGTTGGATCCCCTCGGGCGGCGTAGAGGCGGCCTGTGATCGGCCGGTTCGGATCGAGATTGGACTTATACCGAGGTAAAGTATCGGACTATCGTGCTCGGCTCTCTCGGCGCAGTCAACCGGCCGGTCGCCACGAGCTCTCGCGGGGACCGACGAACGGAATAATCTCCCGCGACCGCGTACGAAACGGAGAGGATGCACGCGCCTATGCATCGCGAATGCCGCGTCTTCGCGCGATTGCACCGCGGTGCATCGCCGCGCTACGCGGACTAAAGTTTCTCGGCCCGACCGATCAACGAGTCCGCTCAACGAGTTGCACGCGAGATTTTACACACAGGCGTTTCAACATTTGTTCTGATGCTTGACGTTGGATGCAATAAATCGTTCAACGGAGAGACCGAGTCAATGTTGAAATCAAATTGACGACTGAAGAGTTTGTTTCTGAAATCATCTCAGAGCACTACACTTTTTCGTAACAAATTTCGTAATAAATATCTATATATCGTGTTAAAAAGCTGTTTCTAATCAAAAATATAATCAATCTTTATCATTAATCTACGTTTTTTTTAAAGTGGAATCAAAACCGTTTGAAAATAATGTTCGAATTTATTGATACTTTGGGAACACGTTATTTATATCGATCGAATGAAATATTAATTTTAGATTTCATGTTTCCGTATTTAAACTTTTTATTAGAATGTATTCTTTGGAAATA